TTGCTTCACTAGCCCATGTTGATATTTTCATTGCACTCTTCCCGGATGAGGCAGATCGGTCGCCGGCCTCTGGACAGCCGCTCATGGCGGCTCTTGGCAGGTCACACCAGCTGCCGGCCGCTCACGTTGGCTGCCAGCCACACACGGTAGCTTACGGCAGCCCACTGCAGCAGTTGCTGCAACCTACGCCATCTCTGGCAACTCATGGCAGCCCAGCTCCAGGTCGAGCTGTTGTTCACCAACTTAGCTGTAGAGGGCAGTGTCACTATCCCCCATGTGGGATCTGAACCGGGGCCCTACTGCTCACAGCTGGCGTCCCAAGCCAGCTCTTAACCAACGTGCCACTCGGCTGAACCTTAAACATAAATTTTAATTTAAGAGTTTGTCTAGGATTTGACTGTTTCTAGAAAACATATTTATGAGAAGTCCAAAGTGGTAGTAATATTTTTATCTTTAATTTACCTATTAATAAAGCATTTGCAATTTTTAAACGCAGTCTTTTGACACAGTTCATTATAAACTTGGTATCCTTTATTGTCTTTCCTTGACCTAAATCCAGATATTCATTTCCAGTACAATGGTTTTTTATTTGGATTAATGCTACTCTCCATTGCACGATTATTTCAGGTAAACACAAAATAGGCTAATTAGATTTTTCACTTTGGTTTTTAGCTTGTAAATGGGTAAAATTTATTTGACAAACTGTTTTGAGTTGCCAAGTGCTATAAACAACTTTTTTTTTTTGCATCTTGGTGGTCACATTTATTGGAAGGGTTGGAGAAAAATAAAAATGCCATTTAACTTAATTTGTAAGTTATCGGCAAATTAACTCTCTCAGGAGTAAAAGAATCCTTAGTCATTTCTGAGTATCAAAATTTACACAGGTTTTTAAAAATATCTTCTACATTTAAAGAAGCAATCATACAAAGTCTCTTATTTTTCATACAGGATAAATTCTTTGTTTCAGCCAACTCCCAATGGAGGGGCACCTAGTACAACACCATCTCCCTGGACAAAGAGCATCAGAATAATCCGTTTTGTTGATTTATATACCTCTTCATATGTTTCCTCATCAATTTCTATGGTAGTCAAGTTTCTTCCACATCTCCCAGTATCATATTTAAGTGTTGATCATAAACATGTAATTTACCTCGAAGCTGTCTGTCATTGCTCATTTTCACATAAATTCACTCATCCAGGCTAAGCCTGATGAGACCCAAGGGGTCTTCTATGGGGTTGGTAATTTGTTGCTGGTCCACATTGTCCGCCATGTTTCAAAACCTATAGACAACTTTTATAGACTATTTCTCACAAATTCCATCTTTTGACAATAATTTTCTTAATTTTACAAATAACAAAAATTGTACTCTAAAAACTTGTTAAAGTGTGGCAGTCCTGAAATAAACTTGAATTTCTACATTTGGTTGGGATCATTTATCTAGGAATGAAATCTTCAGTTTTTACAAGTAATAACTAGGATGGTGAGGCTTTACTATCAGAAGCATGTAGTACATAGTGTAATAGGAAGTATGGGATTTGGAATCAGAAGACCTGGGTTGAAGCCCTGACTAACCCTAATATGCTGTGTGACTCAAACGGGTTAGTCAAATGCATTCGCTGCTTCAGATTAGGTATATTATGTATAATATTAAGTGGACGTCGCAGCTATTCTGTGAGGTTGTTATAATTATCGTCCTCTTTATAGAGGAGGAAATCAGAAATTCAGATTTCTGTGCCACCTCACTGTACACTAAATCAGAATCTCTGGGATTGTGGTTTAGGATTCTTCAGGGAATTTTGATAAACTATCAGGTTTGGGAACCATTAGCCCATCAGAAGTTATTTAACCCTCTCAGCTTCAGTTTTCTCATCTGTAAAATGAAATTTACCCCTTGTTACATTTGTACGTGTAAAATGGGGCTACCGATCTCACAGGGACTTTGGAAAGATTACATTTGATAATCTGTTTTAAAGTTCTTTGTCAACTATAAATTTCTGAATAAGTCTTTTTCTTTTAACCATAAAAAGCCACATAGTACTTAGAACATAATGGTTGTTGAATAAATAAACTAAAGTTTAGCTATAGAACCAGCTAGACCTCTGAATCTTAAATTATAAAAATCGTGAAGAGAAATCTGGAAATATTTCATTCTTTTTTTTTTTATCATCCCCATCTCATCTGTTCTAGATCACACCTGATGAGACAGTGAGAGAATGAACCTGACCTTTCATGGTCCCTTTGACAGTTTCCCTTGCTGAACCTCAGGAACATTATCTCATGTGATCCTTTCAAAATTCCTGTGAGGTAGGTAGAATTCAGACTTCTGTAGTTATAGTCATCTCGGGTTTTTTGTTTGTTTTAATCAGAATACCTTTAGTTCTCCTAGGTAGTTTGTTAGGATCAAGTATTATACATAACGCCTTCAGCCTGATAATACTGTATGTTACCTAATCTGTAATAGAAGATTTAAGTAATTCTTTGGTAGCATAGCATCATATGTATTCATTCATACTCTTGTTCCCAGCTCCTCTCCAGAAATCAACTCCAGCTATTGTAATACTGTAAGGGGGTGAGCATAACTGAATTCTCTGGACTTAAGTTCCTTAGGGATAATTTGTATGTATTAGGGATATTAAGGTGATGTATCCCTATCCCTCAACATCAAGCGTACTTAATATTTGTTGAAATAATGAATTAATGAACCTGCTAGACTCAGTATAAAAGCCAGCTGGAATCACTTGCCTGTGTTTTCCTTATATTGCATGTAGAATATTTGCCTGAATTTTTAAAACTTTTTATTATAGACAAATTTAAATCATCTACAAAAGAAGAGAAATTAGTATAATGATTTACCCACTTACATACACATACACAGGATTATTTTGAAACACATCTCGGACATCGTATTTCATTAAATATTTCAGAATATATCTTTTAAGATATGTATTTTTTTAATTGTGGTAAAATATACATAACAAAATTTACCACTTTAAACCATTTTTAAGTGTACAGTTCCATAATGTTATGTTTATTCACATTGTTGTTCAGCCATTCTCTGGTGTTTGTTTGTTTTTTTAAGATTTTTTTTTTATTGGGCAATTGGGGGGATGGGAACAGAGCTGGGGAATTGGGGGAAGGGGAACAGACAAGTTGCTGTCGTTTTGTTCTTCAGTCTAGTTGTGGAGAACGTTGCTTCACTGGCCCAAGTTGGCACCATCATTGCGCTCTTCCCGGGTGAGGCAGATCGGTCACCGGCTTCTGGACGGCCGCTCACGGCGGCTGCTGGCTACTCACGCTGGCTGCTGGCTACATACGGTAGCCCATGGCAACCCACTGCCACAGGGGCTGCAACCTACACCGTCGCCAGCGATTCATGGCAACCCAGCTCCAGGTTGAGCTGTTGTTCAGCATCTTAGCTGTGGAGGGCAGTGTCACTGGCCCTCATATGTGGGACCCTCTGGCATCCCAAGCCAGTTCTTAACCATCGCGCCACTCGGCTGGCCCTCTCTGGTGTTTTTTATTGTTTAGTAAATTATATTTATTTAAACAATTTTAGATTTACAGAAAAGTTGCAAAGATAGTGTTGAGAGTTCCTGTACCCCTAACCCATTTTCCCGTAATGTTGCCATCTTCTATAACTATGGTATGTTCATCAAGACTGAGAACCCAACTTGGTACATTCAAATTTCACCAGTTTTTCCACTCATGCCCTTTTTCTGTTCCAGGGTCCAATCCAGGATACTACATCACTGCATTTAATTTATCCTGAATTTTAAACTGTTATCTCTCTCTTAAATCTCCTAGAAAAGGCATATGGAAGGAGCATTTCTCTTTGCTGTTCTCCTACATTTCAAGCACATTTACCTCTACGTAGCACCAGCTTATGGTATATATCTGCTACGATCTTACTGTTTCACTGCAAATAAACCAGGCAAGTTTTAGTGATAATAGCAAAACCTTCTTTATTTTTTCTTGACTTGGTGGCTTGCTTGGTGAGAGGGTCTTATGAGGCACCACAGATATCTCTCCACTATTGATCCTACAGCCCCTTTACCCATTCTGACTTTTCTTTGCACTTGCCACATCCTAAAGATTGCTGTACTGTCAGAGGAGCCTTCTAGTTTTAGCACATGGTATAAGTTACGGTTTTCCATGCTCCTGGTTAATGATAATGTTCCTTTTCTGTAGATGGGTCCGTCCGATGGAACAGTTTCAGCTTTGTCCGCCTTATTTCCCTGGGACTGATTGTTTTTCTAGTTTCTGCTCTTTCGTTGGGTCCTTTCCTAGCCTTGGTAAGCCTTTATTTTTTCATAAAGTAATACATGTTTTTTGTTGTTGCCGTTGTTTAGAAAAAATAATAAAACCAAGAATGTATAAAATAAGCAAAACTACTCCTTTCTTATGCCTCCCCAATATGAGTCTTCAAAGATAGGATAGTATTCTTTCAGTCATTTTTGTGCATATTCACATATGTACATGTGTATATTTGTATTTTTAACTGTATGTCACACACACTACACACTGAGTCCATCGTCATTATTTGTAGATTTTGTATTTGCTAGTTTGCTTACTTGCTAAAATTTATTTGTAACCCCAAAATCAATACTAGAGACAGTTTTCCCTATCATTCACTGACAGCAAACATTCTAAAGTGCCTAGCATGTTAGTGATGTTCAACAAATATTTTCTTTTTCCCCTTCTTCCCTCACTCTGAATTCAACTCATTTTATAAGTATTTCCTGCTAAAACTAGAGAGCACTGCATCTTTGTAAAGTCTTCCCTGCTGTCGCCTTCTTATCAGTGGACTTGGATAAGCTTCAGTCTGTGTTCTCCTTTGTACCTTATAAATTCTTCCATTATTATACTTATAATAGTGTTGGACTAGTATTCACAGTACTTTCATCATCTGTCTTTTCCTACTGGACAGATGAGAAGGTTAGACAAAAGAGGTTCTGTGAGCTGCTCAGGATCACACAAGTACTTATTGAAGGAACAAAGACTGGAACTCAGACTTCATACTTTCTCTACCCTATGCCTTAGACATCACCCTACTTCTCTTTTTGAATTTGGGAAAGATTGATCACTGTTTAATCTCTTTTCAACAGAACCAACTGCCTCAAGTCTTTTCCCGACTCTTCCCTTTCAAGCGGGGCCTCTGCCATGCATATTGGGCTCCAAACTTCTGGGCTTTGTACAACGCTTTGGACAAAGTGCTGTCTGTCATCGGTATGGTAGCAAGCTTTCTTACTTAGACTATGAATATTGAAAGGACCATTCACATTGAGAAATGGAAAAACCTGCTTTGTGTTTTGAATGAGGTTGAACTGTTTGTTCTCCAGTCCTGCATTTCAGCTTTTAGAATGAATGAGGGAGTGGTTCTAGGGCCTGACGCTTCAGTGCAGTAAGCAAACTGCGTTCCTTATAAAAGCTTTTGGTGGCAATCAAGTTGTTGATCCTTTCCGTAGGGAAAAAATAAAATATTTAGATATTTTTAAAAGGTAATTTTTGCCTTAAGTAAAACATTATTCAGTAGTTACCCATACTTTTAAGTAACTTTAAGGAAATGGCAGGATCGAGACAAGAGTACACAAACTTTTTCTGTAATGGGCCTGATAGCAAATATTTTAGGCTTCGCAGGCCACACAGGTAGTTAGTTGGTTGGTTGGCTGGTTGGCTGGCTGGCTGGCTGGCTGGCTGGCTGGCTGGCTGGCTGGCTGGCTGGCTGGCTGGTTGGTTGGTTGGTTGGTTGGTTGGTTGGTTGGTTGGTTGGTTTACAGCCATTAAAAATGTAAAAACCATTCATTGCTTGAGGGCCATGCAAAAACAGGTCACAGGCTGGATTTGGCCCTGGGGCTAGAGTCTACCAACTCCTGATCTGATGACTTGATTGGAGGCCCGCATGCATAAATTGCTGGCTGTGTGGCATTGGGCAAGTCCTTTGATTCCACTAGTCTTGCTTTCCTCACTATAAAAAGGAGATAATGGTACTTTACCCATCCCCATGCAGCATGTTGTGAGAAACAAGTACAGCAATAAAGAAATGCTAGGTTGTCAGTAACAGGGATAACAGGGGCTTTAGAACCAGACAGAACTGGGTTCGATTCTGCCACCTTGGTGACTTTGGGCAAGTTACTCCATCTCTGTGTGCCTCAGGTTCTAAATGTAATGGCTGCAAATCCCTTGGCACATGGAATATGTAAGCATGGTAGCCGCTATTACTATTTTTGATATGTACTTGTAGGAAATCATAATTTGGTATTATCCCTCACATATTGTGAATCCAACCTTGGTGTACGTGGCATTCTGTTTTTTGTTTTTTGTTTTGTTTTTTTTATTGG